CGGTGCTTCGCAAACAACGCATACGCGCGCGCTATCCTCTTTAGGACAGGTCTATTGTCTCTAGGACAGAACGGTTCAGAAGGGCCTACACCCCTATAGTATTCACCTATTCAAAACAAGTTGATATGGAAGCCACGGCAGCGAAATGTCTAATGTGCCAAATCCCATATGTGCCCGCGCTATATGAGATTGGTAGCAAAGTTGAAGAAGTGTGAAGTTTAGAAAAAAACTTTGAAACTACAGGACGAAGTAATAAACGCGCATAAGAAAACTGAGACTTTTAATCAAAGGGACAAAACGCTGCCGGGACCTAAAGGCCCTGAATGCTAACTCGATAACTATCCGCTGGCTCAAATAGAACTTCGCCGCTAAATTTAGCTGATGCCTTATGAAAACTAAGAGAAACCGGCCTTTAAACACAGAACGAGCAATTTTTTTCCTCATAGAAGATTCGTGGCTAAAGCTTTGTGTCAACACTCAATTCCCAAGAATAACTTCGCAACTATGGACATTACGGCGGAGTGGTGGTTGACGTCTAAGGTTATCTCCATACTTCATAAAGATCGGCCGATTCAGATCGGTCGGCCCTTACAACGCTTATAAGCGTAATAAGAATCGGCCGATCGAGGATGCGCGGCGGTTGCGCTGCGGCTCCCTGTTGAGTACCGATTTGGCGGGATCCGGCCCTAACACGGCCTTTCCGCATTTTTTTCCTTCCAATTTGACTCGCTTTCTCTCTTCAGGTTATGTTAGAGTTCTCAGAAGTCGTCAGCAGGTATGCCGATACTTTCCTCCTTATTTTAAGCATCGACTACAACTTTAAATTCTGTAAAGGTAATTGGTTCGTCAAGGAAGGAAAGTCTCGAAGGCATCCCAATTTTGCAATTTTTGATAAAGTTGAATCTGGCAATGGAGCAAAATTTTTGAGGCTGCGCATTGTGTCATCTGGCGATGCGTTGCACTAGGAGCGGCACTATTCACTACATGTAACACATTATAAAAAGTCGACTCACTCCATATGAATATGATTCATTTTACAGCCATATACAGTCTAAGTTGGAAATTGACTTAAACGCCTTTTTACGGTTTCTAGTTGCGTAGAAAGAGTTCAGTATTCGAATAACAACGATTGTGAGAACAGCAAACTCCACATCCTACGGACAGAGTTGATACTCAACGTGGAAACATCAAACAACAAATCACTCCAAAAACCATATGAAAGAAGTTCATCCAAAGCGAAACAACTGATTTCATAATCCACATCCAAAAGATTAATCGAAAGCAAAAAAAAACTCATCTGCGTATAGTTGTTCATAAATAATGCTCGACAGTAACTGAATGAAAAGACAGAAGATATCAACTATTATAAATATACCCATCTCAACAGAATTTTATGGAATGATTGAGATCAAAATGAAGAAGGAGAGAATTATAGTGGAACGGTCACAAATCATCATAAGAATTGAAAGCAACAAAAAAAACAGCAAGAATCGACTTTTAACCATAAGCTGAAGGTGGCAAAACAGCAGCGATATGTTATGAAGTGATGAGGGGATAAGGATTAAAAGTAAGATTTTCTCCTCTATACGTAAATTACTAGAATTCAAAGCTGACTAGAGAAAATCAAGCATCAACATCTCTTCTTTCTTCTGCTTCCATTTCTTC